TTTTGTTTCTAAATTTAAATGTAACGTCTAAAAGTATTAAGAATTCATTTATTTATTTAATAAGGCTTATAGACTAAAAACATTTTTGACTGTTTAAACAAAGAAACATCTTGATAACAATACATCCATAGTGAAAAAAAATGACACCTTGATAGTGTTTGTTATTGCTTTTAATAATGTTGATGTCATCGTGGACTATCCTTCTGTTTCGGCCGGTAAGTATGTATGCGTACGCAGGATTTTCTTATTAAAAAAGAGTATCATATAGTAATATACTCATTATAATTAAGCTGAAGTTTGTTTTTGGTTGAACGCAAGATTTTTTGGAACGCCGATACCTTTGGATTACCTTATTTGGATTTTGGTATGCCGATACCTACAAAATCTATAGGTAACCAGTTATAGATTATGTAGACAGGCACGCCTTAGGAGAAATGCAGTGAATTTTCAGTATAACTGCAAGTCATGTCCGTTAGATGAGCCTCAGTTTTCTGTAAATTGAATAATTGCCTTCATTAATAAAAAAATATGGAAGAGGGGATAAACGAGAAGACGGGTCACCTGAAGGAAAGTGACTACCGCCGCCCATGAACGCCTGCAATTCATAAGTCATAAGCGCGTTTTGGTTTGTTTTATTAACATTAATTAGAATTAAGTAGATACATTTAATTAAAAAATATAAAATTCAGACCTATATAATTAGAGAATACAGAATAATGATCCCAAACCATATTCTCTAATGAAACGGTGATTACACAAAAAATTAAATAAAACTGTCCGACCATAGAATAGACTTACAGGCAATAGCATGACCACACATCAGTAAAAAAGTAAACATTCACGTCAGTGGGCGGAAATCTGTAGAGATTAATAAACCTCTAGTCAGCCTGTTTCTAAACAATGTAACATAAAAAATCAATGACTCAATTTACCTAATTAAAGGCTCTGGTACACATTTAGTATTTATCAATCATTATCCTCTCCTTTTAATATTATGACACGGATAAACTTCGATTTTTTACGCTTGGCGACTGCCATCAGATCTCCACAACCCAAGTACTAGGCGATATCGAAGTTCTGTTGATAGAATGCTGTCGGACTTTTTAAGGCTCCGACGACCCGTAACGACTGCCACAGATGATCGTATGGCAACCGGGACGGGTTCACGTGCTCTCCGAGGCAAAGAGGGGTCCCAATCGTCATCCATCTATAAAATGACCTTAATTTAAAGAATTATAGCAGTTTTGTTCACACATAACTAGTAGCAGGGTAAACCTCTCCAGCTAAGCATGGTCTCGCTGCTTGTTTTTTTGTTATGGTAAATTGTAAATGATAAATGATATTTATGTAAGTAAAACTTCAGATATTTTTACAAGTCGGACTTTATAGCTAGAAGGAGCCGGCATGGTATCAATAGTCTTACCTTATCCATTATTCTTCAGAATAATTTCTAATAAGTCTTGATGATTTGAACACTTGAGCGAGATTTAAAGAAAATAAGTAATTTTTAGATATATCTTCAATTGAATAATCCAAAGGATCCTGATTTGTATATCACTAAAGATATCATCATAATAACAGCTGCGAAAAGAGAGTACATATTTTTAAGTCATTTAACGTCTGTACAAAACTCTTGAAGTAGTGGACGATGCACTTCCTTGGCTACGGTTTCACTATTTCTATAAAATATTGTTAGGGAATCTAATAAATACTTATTCAAACTAAAATGACATAATTCAAATGGTATTCAACAGACTGAGTTAAAAAAAATGTTATCTATTGAAAAGAGAAAATAACAAAGACATACTGTTCACAGGTATAAATAATTACAGAATGGTATGAAAATTGTTTCATTCAAAATATTCCTATGGACCAAGAATTGGTTATAAAATTGTTCTACATGCTGAGTTCTGTCCCAGTAATGGGTTGATTGTTTTATAGATTTGTTGTTTTGTTTCAACGAGTTGATTTAAAGATGCCACAGTAAAATTATTACAATATATTGTGCCTTAGTAAAAATTATGATAATTATTGTTCAGTAGTCGTGTACGATAACGATGTGTGCATTCATGGGGGTTATATAAAGAGAAAGAACTGTAAATCGTGGAGGAGCCATTCTTCGGCACATATGGTCCGACGTAAGCAATGTGATCATTAGTGTTAAATTGTATGGGACTATCGTGGAGACAGAGTTTTTCATGATTGAGTCTTGTGCGAGTGAATCGTGGCTATTCTTTTCTTTTTAAAAAGACAACTACCGCATTAGGATTATATCCTGTGTCACGGAGAATTTTACAAACTTACATGAAACGGATACAAAGGACACCCAGACTTAGAACAACAATTTGTGGATCACACAAAGTGTCGTCCCATGTGGGGATCTGACCCATAACACTAAGCGTAGTAGTGAGTGGCGTGGCGACCGCTTAAACTACTACGCCATCTGTGCAGTCAGATTTGAAATGTCTGAGAGTTTGTGTTGTTACAGAGACAGGTGTCATCATCGGTAATATGATATCTCAGAAAGTGCATGAAAATGGATAAGCAGGATTTGAAGAGCGCTGATTTTGGGGGCAATGTCTGCAGCCTCATTACCATGTATGGCCGTATGAGCTTTGACCCATACAAAGTTAATATATGTGTGTGTGTGGGATGAAAAAGCGTTTGTATGTTGGTGTGGGCTATGAGTGTTGCTAATGTCTTCCAGAGCTGACCTGGAGTCCGACATGATAAAAGCTATATAGCAACCTGTTGCTTGTGTAACCACTGACAGGCTCGGTCCATAGCCATCAGATCGGCCTGAAAAACACTGCACGGTCAATAGAACTTGTAAATTTTGGAATGGGTTGGTGGGTATATCAAGTGTGGGATCGCGTGGGAGGTAATTGGTGATCCCTGTAATTCTAGTGCTCTTTCGTTGACTTCAGGCAAGTGGTGTGAGTGTAGAAATTGATGTGGCGTTAGTGGTGTTCATAGCGCGGAAGCCACTAATTATTTTGAATGCAAACCCTGTTTGTAAGTTTATTACAATTGGTTTTGAAATTTAGAGCAGTGTAGCATATGCTGGAAGCGTGCCATATTATGAGTTCGATTACTTCCCTGTATAGTGTGAGTATGTTTTGAACACTATTCCCCAGGTGGGTCATGGTTAAGTGTAAAATGTTGGTTTTCTAAGTAAAAGCTGAAGCGATGGTTTTTCAGGTCCAAAGGTAAGTTTATTAGTGTTGCCCAATTCTAGAATATTGTGTAAACTTTGATTAATATTGTTTGTTTTTTATTTTTATTTATTTGATTAAGCTTTTTGTGTGCGGCTATTAAGGTGATGTCACCTGCAAAAGCATGCAGCTGGCACGGAAGTCTGTTCCTGGACGAGTCACAGTATTTAGGTGATGTTTGAAGCATTAATTAATTATTTTTTTAATGGTTTAACCCCGTTTAGGTACAAGTCCTATAGGGCGGTATGGAGATGAGGCAGAGTAATCGGATTCATTAAATATGTATAGTAGGCCAAAACCTCCTTTCTGAGGAGAGTCCTATGTCCAGCAATGGACTATTAGAGGCTGTTGATGTGATGATTATGAATCGGGTTTATAGGATTCGGAATGATCTTGATTATTTCATGCTTCCATGTTTTGGGAAACACAAAGATTGATTCTTTAGTTTATATTTTAGAACATTCCAAGCATCCTACCCTTGATACATTAAATCTATTCATTGGTACTGCAAGAACAATAAAAGAACATTTAATTGATACGTATATAAATTACGAAATTGACTGTAGAAAAATAATATGGTTTCACAGGTTTTTGATAGCGTAAAAATAGTTAATGTTTGTGTCGGACCTAGCGCGGTTTCGGTATTTTTAGTGTATTACTTTAAATTGTAATTTTGGAGTCGGATTTTTAATTGTTTTAATCAATACTTGTTTACTATTTTAAGGTGCAATATAAGACATTGCAGAGATTCAGGCTGGTTTTCTTGTACGGTCGGCCAATCCTGTGTAAGAATGATATCATTTATAGACAGAACAAAGAAAGAAGGTTATTGGGGTAATCAGATCATGGTCAGGAATACCATAAGTGTTGGATTTGAAAACAGGACTTAGAAAAATAAAATTGAAGAGAGAACGATAACAATAAATACACACGGCCGTCTCGCACACGGCCGTCTGATCCCAAAGTAGGCAGAGGCTCTGCCACTATAGTAACCAGACTACTTGTAAACATACTTATGTACATATTTCTAAATAAATACCTACATAATCATAGATAAATTACACCCAGGCACAGAACAAATGATCGCACTCCTCACACAAACCTACTGTTATCTGATGATAGGATTATTGATATGGTAAAATTATACACAGGATTTCAATTTATATGTACCTTTATTTTATATATTTCGTTCGTTAACATTTATGTGAATTTAGTTCTTAGCACGTGGTAGTGTTAAAAGGCATTGTGAAGTGCGTATTAGAACTCAAAATGAGTATTCTTTAGAATACTATATTTTGACAGTTGAGCGTGGTTCTTTCTCTCTGCTCCAGTTTGATATAAATTGAAAGAGAAAGGAATTCGCCCATAAGGTATAGCGTGCCGCTTCTTTAGTCAAGTTGTCGTAGTATGGGCCTAGGGAATAAAACATTAATTAACCCTTTTGCGATTAAATTACGGCAAAATCACAACGTATATAAAAATGTATGTGTAAATTAAGTTTTATAATAGATAATAAAATAAACTCAGACATCTTACACATGGCCGTCTGATCCCAAACTAAACAGAGTCTATACTATAGTATAGTGCTCGAGACACTTATCACTGATAAACATACATAATTACAGGCAGCTGCAACTCTAAGAGTCATGAGTGCCGTCCTTCCAGTGCCTCCCCCTCCCGAAATAGGAGGACAGGTTAGGTTGGGCTTTTCTGTGAGGCGTGGTAGTATCCCAAGTTACTTCAAGAATCAGATAGAAATCAGGCAAGTATTAGGGTACCTACTCACTAACTAAGTATCTCATCCAGATTGACGTCATACACTCTGCTGTTGGGTAGCCTGGCCTGCGCGTGTATATCCTTCCTTAATGCCATAACTACGTGCACATCTGTCTGTCTGTTTTCGTTCACCGCTGGACAGAAGGCGGTTAGACGTGCGGGAACATATACTGAGTTCAGAAGTTTCAGAGGCATTGCTAGTGATAGGCATCCTTGTTCTGAAATATAAATTCATATTTATCCAAATCTACGAGTCAGTACCTATATTAAGGGATCTTTTCTTGTGGTATAGGATCTAACTAGCTGACAGATTACCCGATTTCTTTTTTTCTTTCTTTTCTTTTAAAAAAGACAACTCCCGCATTAGGAATAAATCCTGTGTCGCGGGGGACTTTACAAACATACTTACATGAAACGGACACAAAGAACACCCAGACTCAGAACAACAATTTGTGGATCACACAAAGTGTCGTCCCATGTGGGGTTTGAACCCACAACACTCGGCGTAGTAGGAAGTGGCGTGGCGACCGCTTAAACCACTACGCCATCCGTGCAGTCATATAATTAACCAACTAATGTTATGTAAGACTCTCTTTTGAAGCCCGTCACTCAAAACTCAAAAATACTTTATCAAATGAATGAATACCTAGTTTATAAATACCTAGGTGAGTTTTCTCATCTCAATAAGTCCTCAGTATGTGCCAAAAAATCAGATTCAGATTGTAAGTGTTACAGCTGCCATGGATACTTGCTACTCTAGAAACATAAATACGTTCCGTAGTCATAGCAAGAGGAGGGAATGGGGTACCGTTAACACCGCTCACTTGGTGAAATACAACGAAATAACTGTTTAATACAGGTGTGGCTGCTGTATGTGCCAAAAAATCGATATCCCACCGATATGAGATGATAACTGAACTTCTAGTACGAAGGGTACGAAAATCATAAGACTGCGCGGATGGCGTAGTGGTTTAAGAGGTCGCCGCGCCGCTTCCTATTGCGCTGAGTGTGGTTAGTTTGATCCCCACATGGGACACCACTTTGTGTGATCCACAAATTATTGCTCTGAGCCTGGGTGTTCTTTGTGTCCGTTTCATTTATGTTTGTAAAGTCCCCCGCAAAACAGGATATATCTTGATATATATCTCAGGATATAGCCGTCTTGTTGATATCTAACTAAAATACGTGGAACCTTTCGTTGCTGCTGCCTTGGTCATCATCACTCATTTTAGTTCTTTACCTGGAACCTTTCTTCTGAAATGGACGTTTTCTATCATATATATTCCGCTTCTACCGAGAACATTTGAAACTGTTCTGCTTGCGAACTCCCTCGTTTGTTCAGACTCGAAGGTGGGGGCATCAGTAGCTACTCCAACCACGTGGCTCAGATTAGCAGCTATCCATTCAGCGAGTTCGTAACTTAAACCTGAAAAAAAATCAAGTTTAACTGTTCCATTATTGTTCTGTCGGTCTATTCTGTATTACAGCCGGTAACGTTTCGTCTAATACGTCAGGCAAAAAAGGCAGAAGTTATATAATACGGATTAATCGTAATATCTATTTATATTTATAATATTTGTCACGAAGAATACAGTAAGTATAAACATGTAAGTACAAAAGTTTACAAAATGGGTTGGCAAATGGAAAACATGATGAAGAAGCAACTAAGCTGTTACTCTGATAGGTAGATAGTGGTGCTAATTCTGTTGTTCGAAAACTCTCTAAACTAAACTAAAAATCACTAAAAATTTGTTTAGTTCTGTCAAACAACGTTTCCTATTCTAAAAACGTAATATTTGACAGGATTTTATTTTATTTTAATTTTTTTAGTGATTTTTAGTTTAGTTTAGAGAGTTTTCGAACAACAGAATTAGCACCAGTATCTTATACTATCTAGCATCCCAAAATGTTCACCTTAGCCAATCCACCGAATAAAAAAAAAATCAAACACAAAAATGATGTCTTCTCTTCACAAATTTTGTCTAATGTCATATCTAATTGATGTAAGCCAGAACGTAGTCTCGTACACGAGTAGATTAAAATATGAAAAAAATATGCTCAATGGACTCACCAGGAACCTTACAAGCGCAAGTTCTAATATTTATATTATTGTTTTCTTCCTCCGACCATCCAAACCTAAATAGCAAGAGGGTGGGCTCTCTAGGGTCATGCTTGAGTGCCGCCCATTGTAACGCAACATCCAGGGTTAATACTATTGTAGGGTTGATTGCTGTCATTCCAGTTAGGTCTATTACTGTCACTAAAATAAGTAGAATTTATTGATGAGTTAGAGTTAGTTTCATATTTAAATTTCATACCCGCTTAGTACATACAATGTGATACTTCAAGTATTTTCTACCCGGCAACATTTGTGAGAAGGTGGTGGCAACTCCCACATACAAAGAAACAAAAACATACTACAGCGCCATCTAACGAAGACATACCGAACTACGGAGTGACTACTAAATAAGAATTGCTAATTCTGTATCGCGATATGAAGAATTCTCTCGCCGATTAGCATATATAGAACTGCCTAATATCAATCGTTGGGCCGCGGCCCGCCAGGCATGATCCTGGCCTGGTAGGGGGATCCTCCCTTTGTGTTTGAGGGACATTACACCCGTTCCTCCACAAAGACATTAGGAAAAAGATTTTATGTAAATGACTGCAAAAACAATGAAAAATATAACAAGATCATAAAAAAAATTACATGTAGTTATTTAGACCTGCAGCAACATTAGAAAAACAAATAAAACAAAAGAAAATAAAAAACCAAATCCATTTTGAAGTGAAATGAAGGAGTGCGTGAAAGGTGATCAAGGAGAATGGAAGAAGAAAATTCGCTGCATCACATCAACAGCCTTTAATAGTCCACTGTTGGACATAGGCCTCTCCTTAGAAAGGACCGCACTGCACCGACACAAAATAAATTTGAGAAAATGGTAGGAAGATGATGACCTACCCAAGAAAGACGGTTTAGTTTTTTCATAATCAATTCCTTTATGCAAATTTAACCATGTATAGCGCTCTCAACACATGGTCACGCTTTTTGTAATATTCTATGGGTGTGTATACTTTTATAGAAAATATTTATGTCATGGTCATACGTGCCAACATCAGAGGAAGCATATTGATTATGAAAATCATAATACGAATAGATACAATACTCGTAGTTGATTTGATTGATTGATTGTTTCAATCAATAGAATGCTAGCCGGAGTTAGAATGAAATAAGTTGGTATCATGATTCAGTTGTCATTTATTCGCAACAAGTGTTTTCTCGAGTTAAAAGGTGTGCACGATACTGACATCTACTCAACAAATATTCAGATGGGATGACAGCCGGGTGCATAGATCCTGAGGTCTCAGATTGCTCCAGGTGCATGCCGGTACCAAGGCTAGGAGTACCACAGTTTGTGCACATTTTCCTGCAACACATTAAAAGTAAATTTTAATCTGTATATATGAAAATGTTGATTTACTTTGTATACGCTTCAAAAACTCAATAAATTCTACACCTTCAAAGAATTCGAAGATCTAGTTTTCGTCAGTTTTGCTCCTTCTTTCTCATCACATAACATCATCACATCAACAGCCTACGAGTATAACAGTCCACTGCAAGACATAGGCCTCTTCTTAGAAAGGAGGTTTTGGCCTACTATACCACGCTGGCCAGACGGGTTGGTGGTTTGTTTCAAGTTTTCTTTCTCTTTGCAGTGCTGTTGTCCTGCGTAGCTTGCTCCCTTAGTCGGCTCTTACGACACCCACGGGATGAATAGGGGTGGTGACACTCCGTATTCTTAATCCGTCACCACACGTCTTTCTCATTAATGTAACTAATATGTGCCACAGCGAAGCCAGGGCACAGTTATTATAACATATTTGGTTTACGTTTTTCTGGGTGTATCACGTTTAAATCTATGTAAACTGAAAAACTAGATAAAGTATAATATAAAACTCACCAACGTTTCTCCATAGCTCCATAGTACAGTGACATAGAAGTCCAAGTTGTAGGCTTCGTCATATCTACTATGTCAATACGATCTGGATTATCTCTTCGTCCCGTAAATGAAAATTTGACTTCCGTAACGATAATAAACAAACTTAACAGGCTTTTATACATATTTATTTATATTATAGCTGTCAGAAAATTAAATAGAAAGAGTGACGAGAAGATTCTTTAGAAAATTTTTAAATGGTCACCGAGTAAATAAAAGTAAGTGAGCATAGTGAATATTGTAGCAAAAAACCCTAACATATTCGCAGTGCACTTATTGCAATATTGTGATAAAATAACAAAAATTAATGCTAAGGTGCAAATTAATTACTAAATTTGAATATTGAAAGCTAATAATAAAAACATTGCGAGTAAGCTAAAGAGACTCATGGTCGTTATGGTTCGATGGAAGACTGATGGTAGCACATCAATCGAACCATATATACGATTTTTTTACAGTAACTATGACGTTTCAACCTTTGATGTTAAAAAGGGAAATAAAAAACACAATTCACAATATAGAATAATAAAAAAACACTGCATATACATAAACACTTCTGATTGAAAACATTACTTTCAATTGTGTTCGGTCCCCGTTATGACTACGAAGCACATCTACCAAAATACTTCTGAGATCTATAGCTAGTAGTATTTGTAAGGGCTATTTGTTTATTTGTTGAAAATAAACGTTATGTTAGAACAATAGCTAGTTTACGTTAGATAAAAAAACATTTCTTATACTGATTCATTTCGTGACTCAGCGATGACTGTGTTGTCGTAAATGACTAAAGATTAAGCAGCGGAACTCTTCTTCACTTTAACTCGAAGTAGGAGAGTCATGCTTCTGAAAATAGAAGCCAGCTAGACCAGAGTGATACGACAGCCTTACAAAAAACCGGTGTTAAGCAGTTTTTTCATTGATTTTCACTGAAAATAAGGTTACCGGAGCCCAAATTTCAAGAATTATGGTGGAAGGGCAAACAGAGGGTCTCAACGTACTTGAGTCTCTTGAGTTGCATGCAATCATGGGCGGCGGTAGTCACTTACCATTCCCGTCTGCTCCTTTGCCCCTTTTACACTAAAAAAAGTTCATGTAGATTTAATAAAAACCGAATATTTTACACTCTCTAAATGCTGGTAGATAGTTTTTTATCTGAATCTTTGCAATCCAGTGTGGCGTCTTCCAAATATGGTGAAATGAAGAAACATACTACAGCGCCATCTAACGAAGACACACCGAACTATGGAGTAACTGCCAATCCTGTATCGCAATTCGAAAAATTCTCACGGCGATTAGCATATATACAACTTCCCAACAAAGACCGTTAGGCTGTGGCCCGCCAGTCATAATTATCACGCCTGGTCGGTTATCCTCCCTTTGTGTTGGAGGGACATGACACCTGTTCCTCCACACCAGTTTTAATTATTCTTTACGGACCAAATGTTTACAGCCTTATAGATTTTAGAGCTTTCTTTCTTTTTGTTAATAAACTTGACACTGAATGTTTGTTACTACATATTAATAGGATATGCAATAGTACCTTGAATGAAAATATAATAAAATCTATAGTTGACTGCATTTATAGGGTACATAAGACTGTTTTAAGAATATAGAGTTATGAAATTAATCATGAACTTGATTACAAGTAACTTGTCATTAGACTGTATAGTTTGTGGCCCTATAATCTTTGGCCAAGTTTTGCTTGATTGTGGAACATACTTTCAAATGAAGACCTATATGGAGACCAAATTTTTTGCGAGACGAAACACTGTATTGTTTTGAGTTGGTTTGAGATTGAAAATTTACCTTTAGCCCTGAAAAGGATTTGCGAGTTAATGGAAACAGAGATAATCATGAAGGTTAAGCTTAAAAATTCATTGTGTTTCTTTCTTTCATATTTTCTTTCCCATTATAGATCATATATGACAAATGTAGAACAATCATTGTACCAATTCGGCGATAGATTGGCAGGGTTCTAAGATTTTATAAAAGAATAGCTGACCCGCGCAACTTCGTCTGCGTCTCTCAATAGTAATAAATTTTCTCCGTTTTTGAAACATTCTTCAGTGGTGCTCCGCTCCTATTGGTCTTAGCGTGATGATATATAGCCTATAGCCTTCCTCGATAAATGGGCTATCTAACACTGAAAGAATTTTTCAAATCGGACCAGTAGTTCCTGAGATTAGCGCGTTCAAACAAACAAACAAACAAACAAACTCTTCAGCTTTATAATATTAGTATAGATTGTGAGAATGCTTTGTGTACCTAAATTGTCTATTTCACACATAATTTTAAGATTATTTTAATATGAAAGTTCTTGACTGTACAGAACAAAAAAAGCGTCTGCAAAACTAGGGGCGACCACGAAGCTTGGTAAAAGTCCATTGAATATTAATATACCGAAATTTTGTATCATATTTAATCCCACCAAAAACATTTTCATATACTCGTACAATGTCGATAAGACGTTTGGCTCGCACTGCCAAAACTTATCACATCTCAAGTAGAGCCAAGGTTCTAAATCTATATGCCCTGACTCTACAAGCCCTAACATCACAAACTCTACACCTTATTCAAAATATGTGGCTTGTCCGTTTTGTTACTACAAGAACAGAAAACAAACAAGTAACAGAAAAGTAATGAACAATAAATTAATTTTTCACCTTATGTGACGATGGCAAAATAAACTTTTTACCTTACGCCCATATGGTGGAAGCAAAACAGCCAAGCCGGGCCAAGAAACGTGCATTACCGTGCCCCCAGATTTAAGAAATTCGTTTTTGCTTTCAAAATGTAACTTAATGATGTGAGAAAACTCACCTAGGTATTTATAATCTAGATATTTATTCATGTGGGATAAAGTATGTTTCAGTTTTGAGAGATGGGGTACTAAAGAGATTCTTACATAACATTAGTTGGTTAATTATATGACTGCACGTATGGCGTAGTGGTTTCAGCGGTCGCCACACATGGGACGACACTTTGTGTGATCCACAAGTTGTCGTTCTGAGTCTGGGTGCTCTTTGTGTCCGTTTCATGTATGTTTGTAAAGTCTCTAGCGACACAGGATATATTCCTATTGCGGGAGTTGTCTTTTTAAGAAGAATTTTTCACATTCGTTGTGCGGGGCAAAAAGTGTTTCGAAAAGCGCACAGTAGTGGAGCGCCAACTATCCGGGTGATGAGGATGAACATTTTGCCGTGTAGAACGATGTCCGAAAGTTGCGGCTGGTGTTAGTCCGAACAAATCCTCGGATCACTCTCCATGATATATGTGATAGAGAATGCAGAGTCAAGCCACATTACTACGTAATGCCAACTTCTTTGATATTTGAGTCGAGGTTCATAGATCAAAAAGGAAAAAGATGACAATAAAACAACTAAAATAATTATATTTCATTTTTTTTTATTAACATGTATAATGCAATCTATTACGTAGAACAGTAGTAGGTATGTTAACATAAAGAAATAAATGTGTATGTTTATATAGGTTCTTGAGTATTTGACATTTTCCTCTTCCTGAAAAGAAAAATAGAAAATTTTAGAAAAATATACACATTACAGTGGTAGATGTCTTTAGATATTTTATTATTCCTTTTTTTACGTTTGGGGAAACCATCGGGCTTTCACTCTTCCGGGGGTTTCGATGGGGCAATGTGTTGCAGTCGAACCGAATAAAACCACACGAAGTGCCATACTGCGCTTTAATTAAGAGGGTTCTGGGAAGAGCTTTTATTCGGATCCGGATTCCTCTTAGCCCCTGACCGCAAAAACACTCGCAACCTCACAGAGAGGGAGCGACATTCAAGCATATGCAGAAGTTGCCCCCTCGTGGGTACTATTATTACCCTCGAAGACTTTTTAGTATGAGCCTAACAAGAAGACTATGCTAGCTCAGAAATTCTTCACAGTTGCATATTCAAGTATTAATTAATAGTATCTGTTTGCTATTACCTGTTATAGCATGGAAAGTTCCAGAACTTCTGGTCTAGCCCATAGTTTTCTCCGTCCTGTATGGTCTGAGGCATGTCCTTTCCCATAGATTCTGGTAAGAATAGACAAAGGCATCCACCGAAAATGCCTAAAGCTCCCAGGATTAGTAGCGGTATCTCTCTAGCTATAGTTGCCTGCAAATAAAAAGTAAAATATTAATATGTCAACATAACGCTAATACATATGTAAGTATTTATCTATATTATGTAAGTATGTTTATCAGCAAAGCCGACTAAGGGAGCAAACTACGCAGGACAACAGCACTACAAAGAGAAGGAAAACTTAAAACAAACCCCGTACCAACCCGTCTGGCCAGGGTGGTATAGTAGGCCAAAACCTCCTTTCTGAGGAGAGTCCTATGTCCAGCAGTGGACTATTATAGGCTGCTAATCATGATGATCAGCAGTTTGGTTACCATTGTTTAGTTTGGGATTAGACGGCCATGTTCGAGATGTGTGAGATATATTTTTATTATATTATTATCATATATATTATAATTATTGAGTTTTATAACGACATTCAGTAATTGTATTTTCTTTGGAAAGTTTAAGTGGGTATATGATATGGCCAAAGCCATGTTCCGATTCCTTCTAAATCCCGAAGCTCGTCATCTGTTATTGTTTCAATATCGTACATAAGCCGGACTGATTGCCTCACTTACGAAGTAGACGATGTAGGGTGTCAGTATTGTGGCCACGTATCCACTGATGTGAATGAGAGCGAGTCCTTGGGCTCGGACAACAGTCGGCAGAAGTTCTGCCGCGTACTGTATCCCGATGTTGAATGATATATTGACGGCAAAACGACCGATTATAGCCAAAGAAGCTGATGGGATGCCTGGAAAAAATTTAGATGGGTTATATTGTTTGCAAGTAAGTCGGTGGTTGGACTTTGCATGGGTAGCTAATTCGAAGTAAAAATACGCTCGTCCTCCGATTGATTCGTATAAGCAATATTCCTTTCCAAATTTTGCTTCACGTTTTAATTTCCTACATTAATTAGCCTACATTTAATAGGGTAATCCCTGAGGGAAAACGATGGGTGTTATAAGTTTAACCTGTGTCTCTGTCTGTCTGTCTGTGGCATTATAGCTTCCGAACGGATATACCAATTTCGATGCGGCTTTTTTTAAATATCTTTGCCCGAAGAACGCGGTCATCGTGACGATCGACATTTTTTTTAGTAGATGTGTTTAATTTTCAACACTTCAATTCAACAAACAGACCGTGGCATTGCAGACATCTCTTGCCTATTTACTGCTTTTAATTGTAGGTGTGTCTTTGGTTTCTTAGTGTGTATACATTTTTTTTTAAATCTGCTTGCGTCGAACTAGGCCGAAACTCCTAAATCGCCTCTCTTAGAAATTAGTTTTGACGGCCACAACTCTTTAGTTACCGGCAGGGATTCATTACACGTGGGGCAGGTGGCTCCAACTACGTATTTGTATTGCAATTTTTTGTTAAAAACTCCCGTAACATTCTCACTTCTGTTTCTTATGCTCCAATCACGTTCGAAATCTTCGATCAAAAAGAAATATGCTTCTTCTATGCCCCCCTCACACCTCCAACTTTATCGAGGCCTCCTTCTACGTCCAGTCAGTTCTTCTCTGGAATACCCTCCCTCCCGAAATCAGAATGTCCACAAACGCTAGTACCCGATTGTAACCGATTTGACCCGGCAAACGTTGTATTGCAAAACAAAAGAAAATTAGGGATGGGTCACCCTTACCATTTAGGGGTATGAAAAATAGATGTTGGCCGATTCTCAGACCTACCCGATGTGCACACAAAATTTCATGAGAATCGGTCAAGCCGTTTCGGAGGAGTACGGGAACGAACATTGTGACACGAGAATTTTATATATAAGATTAAATTTATGTAGGTTTATGTAAATTATATTTTACACCTACCGCATGAGAAAGAGCATGCGAGAGAATGCCTAATGGCATTAAGTCCGCCTTTGTGTAACATGTGCATAAATTTTAAAATAAATAAATAAAATTCTAAGTAACGAGCTAGTGGCCCTCCCCGCACGTTACGGCGCAGTGATTGGGTTTGAGCAGGAAATATTCATAGCAGGAAACAAACTCATGGCCCACCCGGTTTGTAATTGGGTACAGTAATTATAAACTCACCTATGGGAGCAGTTGTCGCCAAAAGACTAAAGATGCCGCTAAGTGCCATGGTGCTAAATGCGAGCCATCGACGTCCGACACTGTAACAAATAATGGTATACGCATAATCATCGATAAAGGCGAAAGTTTGGATGGATGTGTGTTACTCTTTCACGCAATCGCACGGCTTAATGGATATGGATGAAATTTGCCACAGATATAGATTAGATGATTGATAAAAATGACAATAGCGCGGGCGCAAGTAGTAAGCAATAAAATAAATGTAACCTACTAATGGTTTGGCTACGTGTTCTGTCTACTCTTTATCGAGGCATATATGTGTTGTTTTATTTAGCCGTAGTAACAACCGTTAGATTGTTTTTAATGTTGCATATACACACCGTTTCTATCTAGGTAATTTCAGATACAAGTTAGTTGCCGGGTTTTGAGTGCCCATCCTCCCCCAGAATTAGTAAAGGGGGGGGGGGGGAATAATACATTTTCCACCAAGTACTATGTGGATAGTGCTTGTAATCCTACGGCCTCGTATCCTTTTCGTTGTCCACTATTAATAAAAGGCTATCGATACTTCGCCATACTAAATGTATAATATTAATAACTCACACGTCCAATATACAGATGAGCAGAATATCAGCTGGGAACTCAGTGAATGTGGCAATGCTGAACGTGATGAACATATCCAGACCTTGAAAAGACAAATTATAAAACTTAAGGTTTTTTTAGTTAAAGACTATAATTTAGTTTTTAATAGTTTTACCGACTTCAATGAGGCTGATTTAAAATAAATTGTAATAAACAATATTATAATTCCTTCATTTTACGCTTAGGAATGCAATATTCTATGCATTTACAGGGGACCGCTTGTATTCCTATGCTTTTTAAAACATGAATATTGTTTTTTGAAAATATATTAAAACACTCGGGCAAAGACATGCTCAAGACAAATTCACGCATACAGTTATTTAGTTCATATATTATTATGTAACAAAAACGGAAAGAAATACAGAGCGTCAATATATCTTTTTTTTTTTAAGACAACGCCTGCATTAGGATTATATACTATATGCGACTTTACAAACATACATGAAACGGACACAAAGAACACCGAGACTCAGAATAACCATTTTGTGATCACACAAAGTGTAGTCCCATGTGGGGATCGGACCCACAACCACCGCTTAAACCACTACGCGCGTCACCACGGTGAGTCAAGATCTAATTTAAGACGTTTGATTAGTGACCATTATATCTTACCTAAAGTCCCTACATTCCTCACATGCCCATCAAACACCATAGCTATTGACATCCAGATCATAACGAGCAATATAGTGTGTCGACGAAGTCTAGGAGTTCTTACTAGATCGACAACACTGTAATTCTTGCATTCCTGTTCTTTTTTGGCTATTTCTGTGGCCGTTTCCTAAAAAAAAAAAAAGGTTTTTTATTGAGGTTTACATTAAGATTTATATTTTAAAAGTCAATAATATCAATATCCACTTACTCTAAATTCAGCAATGACTGCATCAGGTATTTTCTTTTTATTCCATCTTTCACATGTCTTCATTATTTTGATGGCTTCGTCTATTCTGCCCTGGGCTATCAGCCATCTGTAACAAAACCCAGGTTAGGTCACTTGTTGGTAAGTGTCTACCGACGCCTATGAACACTAGTCACTCTAGGCCCAGAAGAGCGTTGCTGGTCTTTTAGGTATGAATACGCTCTTTTCAAATGAGAAGGTTGTCTCGGTCCGGAAATACCGCACGAATAGAATGTGTTAAACAGGTTGGTTATGGAAGGCGAGAAGTTTGAAAAGTGCAAAGCAAAGTGGTAGAGTGCGGTTGGGTTGAACATATGTACGTGTAATATGTGTGCAATGCTAACAATCACGTACCTGGCACTTTCCGGCACAATCCAAGGAGTGATCAAAGCTAATGCTAGAGGAGCACTGATTACCAAGGTGTAGATCTTCCAGTCATCAACACCTATCGCTATCCATGGTAGAATGCAAGCAGCAAATGTGAAGTAAACGGCAATGGACATGTTAGCTACAAATGTACGCCATTTTCGACCTACGTATTCCAACACTGGAAAGAATAAGGCAATATTAATTTACACGTTTTAGACCATAGAACACTCACGTTTTAGTCCCCAAAGAGGTATTAAAGGCCCTAATTTTGCTAAATATATGATTTTAGTCCCAATTACGTTAAAGTCAAGCGGGCACATTTATTTCTAAATAAACATCTGTATTTACTCGTATATTTTAAATGTGAAAGTGAGTTTATTTGTTACGCTTTCGCGCTTATGCGAATAAAACCGATTTTAAAAATTATTTTGCCAATGCAAAGCTATATTATCAGAGCTACTTCTTACCGCGAAAACCGATACTAAGCGGTCAGGGCCACGGGAAAAAGCTAGTACTTATATGTTTCTAAATACATAAATATTATTGATAAAGTAGACCCAGACACAGAACAAAACGATCGTGCTTATCACAAAATAATGGTCCTGGATTTGAATCGAACCAACGACCTCTGCCTTAGCAGTCAAGATCGCTAACCACTAGACCAACGGACTGGTGATATAAATGTTTTAAGAGTTAATATTGATTACACAAATCCAAAATGACTTACCCACGATATACATAATAAGGAAGCAGTTGTCGTATGCTAGGCCTACAATGAATCTACAGAGACAGAAGGACCAGAAGTCATTGGTGAATATTGTGCCAATACCGCCGGCGAAACCCGCCAAGTTTGTACCTTTAAAAATATAATATTTTTTAATTTTTAAAATTGCAAATTGAAATTTTTACTTTATCGTTAGTTTAGTTAGTTTACAGAACAGTCTTGGTAATTTCTTTGCTGGACCTCTTACGTGTGTGAAGGGCATCTGAGGCTAACTGTTGGGTGGTTGGCTCAAGCAAAACATAAAAATGGTGTTGAAACTTTGCAGAAACAATTGACATCATAATCACCATCATCTGACGGGCAAGACAGATATTTGTGAAAAGATTCACTAACCAACTAAAGCTGGCACTCTTCCGTACTTGTCTGCTATCCAGCCGAAGATAAAACCTCCCACTATGCCGCCGCAGAAGAATATAGATTGAGCAGTGGCAGGGTAGGTGTCTTTGTCACACACCCATCCTTGCTGTATGAGAAAAGAATATCATAAAGCATTGTTTTAATCGCACTAGTAAATATACCATTCCTTAGCATCTCATTGCTGCGGCGATTTTTTTAAAGATCTACACTAAAGATTACTAAAGATCACCTAAATTTGTAATTTAATATAAAATGAATAATTTTGGAAGAACTGTTGAATTGAACTGAAAAGCGGTGTTCAAAAATTCTTTTATTGCTTTTCACCTAGTGAGTGAGGTCAGGTTATCGGAGGCCGAACTCAAAACAGTGACTGCTCGTTTGTAGCAACTAGTTGTTATATACGTACCTGTGTAGCTATAGTTTCATAGGTCACATCGGTGTAGTTAAATTCCCATCTGTTGCACTTTTTTACGCTCCAAGTTGGATCAGGCTCCATGGTACCATTATTCAAAATGGCCGTCCAGTTCACGTCATACACTGTACACTTGTCAAATTTGTCGTTCTTGATGGGGATTGAGAGGTGGCGCCTGGAATTATTTATGGAATTAAAGAACGGAAGGTAAAACGCCTATCGGTTGTATGACCATGTCTGTTTTGTCAAGACAAGCTTTTATTGTATAGGGCTGTGTTTCTGCATTTGGACTTACAGTGATATATTATTATAAGTGATATATTTCAGTTGATGACTAGCTGCTGCCTACAGAGTCGCATGATTTTAAATTTTCTTGATCCCTTGGACATCGGTAGTTTTTTTATATGTATTCTTCTGTTACCCTGATAACCTGTGTGGATTTTTTTTAATTATCGGTTGAGTAGTTTAGTCGTAACCTGTTGCTGCTCAAGTTAGTCTCACTAGCCTATCTACCAAAATTAGCTTAGGACAGTCAACACCATGGTTTTTATCTTTTCAATTCTAAAATAACTTCAATGGGTCTAAGTTTCCACATTTAAAAAAAAAACAGGACCAATGTCCATATGTATTTAAAGCAGGGATTTAAGACACCTACCTTTGTTCCACTGTCAAATTTCCAAGCTCAGGGACAAAGCACCAGTGCTTTTCAGGCACTACCGTCATAAAAATTTGTCCGAAGTAAACGAATGCAAAGAAGAACGAAAATGGAATCATTAAGAAGAATAGATAGCGCTGATACCAGCCGAAGTCACCGACATATGGCAATAAATCATCCAGATCTTTCAGTTTTCTTGGAAGAGAGCCGTTAGCTGGAACAATCATATTTAATTATGACAACGGCAATGATTTCGACTGCACTATTTGCTGATTTGATTCTTGCTCAGCACAAATGTGTATTTGTATTCATAATTGTCTATTGGGATTGAACTGGATGCTTCTCCACATTGAAAATTTAGCATGTCTGATGTTGGTTCTTTTTTATTGAGGTCTTTATTCATTAATTTAAAAAAGAATCAATTTGTATAAGATGCAGTATAAGAAATACAGTTTGTCAGCTATAATTTGCAAGCTGCTTGTTGCTGCTAACCGGACATTTTGAGAATTAAAAATGGGCAAAATGATTCAAGTCATGCATTTATCACATATTTTGATGGTTGAAAATAGAAGTTGTGTGTTTTACAAAATCTATCAAGTAGGGTACTTTTTTTTAAAATATGGATCAGAGAACTTAGAAGGGTGACATATACTATGCGAAAATGATGGTTACAATAATTTTAAATTACTGATCAAGTCAAGTTGATAAAATATTATCTGATTTAATGACAGTCACATATAAATGTGATTACTTACCAGTTTCTGGAGTCCTCGTTTCCATTTCCAGGTTAGTTCTCTGGGAGTTTTGGTCAACTCCCGGCTTGGAGTTCTTCTCATGTGATTCCATTTTCAAATAGGGTTTTTACCGTAAAAGACACTTTACGCGACGTCTTTCTGGTTACAGAGACTGAACTCTGAATGTGCTGGTCTGTAACATTATTGCAAGAATGGCGTGGTGGTTTAACAATCACCTTGCCGTTACCTACTACGCTGAGTATTGTCGTTTCGATCTATGGGGATCGAACCCACAGTACTCAGCGAAGTAGGTTGAATTAAGGATTAAGGAATTAAGGACTTATTGAGGTGAGCAAACTCACCTAGGTATTTATAAACTAAGTATTTAATTTTATTCATGTGGGATAAAGTATGTTTGAGTTTTGAGTGATGGGGTTCAAAAGAGATTCTTACATAACATTGGATGGTTAATTATATGACTGCACGTATGGCGTAGTGGTTTAAATGGTCGCCACGCCGCTTACTACTACGCTGAGTATTGTGGGTTCGATACCTACATGGGACAACAATTTGTGTAATCCACAAATCGTTGTTCTGAGACTGGGTGTTTTTTGTATCCGTTTGAATATACATATATTCATAAAGTCCCCTGCGACACACACATACGACACAGGATATGCTCCTATTGCGGGAATTGTCTTGACCTGATGGTAAGTGATAATCGCAGTCTTTTTTCTTGGTTAATTGAATGACAGTTTAAGTTAAGTAAAACTGCACATACAAATTGATCGGAATTCGACCACCCGGCAAACCTCTATTTACAACATTATGGTAATATATGTTACCTACAACATAATTATTAATGACTAGTTGACGCAAATGTTTTGCTTCATTAAATATTACTGTATTCAGTTATTTTGTTAGCTGAGATTGCTTTTGATAACAATATTGACATGGTTTTTGTTCATTTGTATTGTTTATTCAGTAATAAACGTTGTGCACGTTAATAATTTTAGCTGTTACAGTTTTAGATAACAATTTATGTATCTTTCTTTCTTTTATATATTCTGTCTTTTATATAAATGTACATGTAGTTTGTAACTAAGATAACAGAGTAATAAAAACTAGCTGGTCTACTAACTGGCTGGTGAAGCTGGTCTCTGGGTTTAGATTATTTAGTGATCCCGAGTAGAAACACTCAAATATTTAAAGCAAGAAAGAAAAAACGAAATGATTTTTTGGCAAACAAAAGGACAATTTTAAATTATAATCGAAAAAGAAGACGAAAAATAGTAAAAGAAAATCATAATTTAGAATAAAAACAGAACAAGAACATAAATTGGCAGTTAATATCATTTTCTTGTGATAACTTGATATGTGATAAATTATAAAATAATATTCACAAATAATGTGAGGTAACGTAACGGCTAAAGCCTGAATCAAGTAGGTCTGAAGAATCAAGGAGCTGTAGGTTCAACTACTCGGTGCACCAGAGACAGGAACCTGTTTCTAATACAAGCAATTAGTTTCGCCGGAGGCGTGATCAAGAATACCAATAATTAATACACACCACTAGTTAAAAAAATAGCTAGCCCCACACTAGTCACATTATTATGCTACACCTCATACAATATCTGACAGCTTATCTACCATCAGACAGCCAACTCTAGTACCACACGCTCACGTAACATCATGTTTGATTCGACCAATGAGAGCCTCTTCCGGGTTTGTACCTTTGTTCCTTTTTGTGAATTAACTCACAGGAGCGAGACAAAAAAATGTTTTTGATTTTTTGGACAGTAAAATAAGATTTTTTAACCCATGAGTGTTAAATATCTTAATATAAAGTACATAATAAAATACAGACATTATATTAGTTATAAACTGTTTTGTTCAATATTTGATTACATTAAGAATATATCATGAATTGACCTTGTGAACACAAGCTATACAATTTTTATTTCGTTGTATTCAACAGTTCGATAAACTCGAAGCAATGGATGGCTTAATAGTGATTGTTATTTAATGTAGAAAAATACTTATTTCGATTATGTATCACAGATAATAGTAAAATGTTAATAAGAAATATTAGAAAAAAACTAACCACAATATTCCGTAGTACTGCAACAGACGCTATAATGAATTCTCAATAAAATGATAGACGTTGTAAAACGTGTATTGACGCGGGACGCTGCGAGCGGTCGAATGATACAATACTTGTGTCTCACTAACTTTAAATGTAGTTAATGTTTATTTTCAGCTTATGAGCGCTTTATTTTATTGTTGCACATATTAACAAGTATCTGACAGTTTAATAATATATGCTGATATTTTGTTCTTTTTTAATATTTATAACGAAGGCCATGGTATTCTGTAGTTCCAAAGTTTCAACTAATTTCATTAAGTAGTTTTAACGTAATACAAATTCTTCTGTATTGGGACTCAATCACCGCTACGAATGTTAGTAAGAGAATTTTAGCCAGGATTGTTAAAGGCAGTTTGCTTCTTTAGTCACCAATATCATCAACATCCTTTAGCAGTCCACTCGCTGGATATATCCATTCTTAGTAAGGGGGTTTTTTCTTACTATTCCACGCTGGCCAGACTGATTGGTAAGGGGTTTGTTTTCGTTCTCTTTGCAGTGCTGTTGTCCTGCGTAGTTAGCACCCTTAGTCGGCTCATACGACACTCACGTTTTTTTAGTATTGTACGGCTGTTTGACACCGATAGCTTCGACAACCTTACTAAGACGGGTGGCCGCTGAGCTCTCATATATTGGTAATGACAAAGAGGTACTTGAATCGGTAACGTACCACGATTTTAACAGTAATTGTCATGAGAGAGACAAGTTTGATCGAAGTGATACCAAAGCTGCAGAGAAAACTGGTGGTAAACAACTCTTCCCTGCGATCGAGTGAATCAAACCCCTACTATAACGCAATGCACGTCTGTCTCTCAAGTTGCAGGTGCATACGGGTCCGGGGTGGCGGCGAGCGCGTTACGAAGCGCGCTCGCTTCCAGGGAGCACAGGGAACATGGGGTTCCCACACGGGGGGGGGGGGGTCGTCTACTCGTCTGTAGATGACCCGAGGTATGTCGGGGTACCAGGACTTCCTTTCTAGAGTATACCTGGTTCCCCGGCTATTAGTACCCGAGACGGCGTGCGGTTTTAGTCGGTTCGAGTCCGACATGCCACCGACAGGTGGTATCCGAGGGGATTTCCGCATGGAAAAAAAAAAAAAAAAAAAAAAAGGTGCATACGGGTGGTAGTTACTATTAGGAATCTTATCTGCTCGTTCTCCCCTATACCATAAAAAGAAATGAAATGATGATGATGAAATGAAATGATATTTTTATCTTCTAAACGCCGAAAGAAATCACAGAGGTGTCTTTTTTTTAAGTAAGTGTACAATTTTAAAGAGAACTATGTGAGTGCAGTATAGGGTCTGGGTTGGCCTTTTGAAGAAAGGACCATATTATTGAGTGTACCCGTCCATACAGACGGCTTACGAGCCCCAGCCATCATGTAACCTAACCGATATAGTCAGGATCAACCACCCGCAACACGACGCTACCGCCTGCAGGACACTTGAGTAGGCCGTGGAAACACTTAAAACCACCAGAAAGTTACTAAAATATGAACTAACATTACAAGCCATGAACTAACATTACTATACTCACATTTGCATACTTACAAAAAAAACAATTATTAAATTTAATTTCAAATAAAAAAATTGAAAACAAATGAAATAACTATAATATAGAATAAGATTTAGTCAAAAAGTAGGGTGAATAAAGCTAGCAAAACACGAGGTTATCCGTGTGGTGACGGATTAAGATTACAGTATCACCTTTTCATCCCAAGGGTGTCGTAAGAGCTGACTAAACGAAAACGGGTGCTAGAAGGTAACAAGCATGCATTCTTGTGACTAAACGATATTTGCATGCGTAGTTTAAAATCGAATCACAAGTTCGTCACCAATTACTTTGCAAAATTTTCTCATGCAGCATGCCAGCAAGCAGTACTGAGAGTTTCAAGCCAATTAAGTTATTTAAAAATCAGATTATCGTAGGAATAACTATTTTCAAGAACACACACATGGTTTCTGTCCCTGAAGAAGGTTTACTGCTAAATAATTCCGGAGCTCGACGAATTAAGCTCCTCAATAATTTCGAATCTACACAATATGAGTGAGTCGCCAAATAACATATCTTATGAGTAAAACTGATGTTTAATGCTATGTTTATCATACGCTTAAACCTGATGCTCTAGCCATTATGCTACTACTGATTTTTCGCAGTTTTATTTACTTACATGCCTTACCACGCTACGCCATGCCATGCCTCGGGCGTATTTACAAGTAAGCGGGTAATTGCAAAGTTTCCCTGAATATTTTCTTTAAAGCACAATATATAGCTATCCGTGTAGTGACGGATTAAGAATAAGGAGTGTCACCACCCCGTCATTCATCCCGTGGGTGTCGTGAGAGCCGACTAAGGGAGCAAACTACGCAGGACAAGAGCATTGCAAAGAGAAGGAAAACTTGACACAAACCCTATTCCAACCCGTCGACAATGTCTAATGACAATATATAGCATTGGGTAGGGAAGTTTTGGAATGGTTATATTTTCTAGGCATGTGTGTATGAGTGCGGACCTAAGTGTCTTGGGACATCGTGGGGAGTTTGCTTTGAATTAAAAATTTGAAAATTTGGCTGGATCTATCGCTTTGCTACTACGGCGTCACAGAAAACACCGATGTGAAGCATTCACCGAGTGAGTGAGGTTATCACACGCCCAACTCCCTAATTTTGGGAGTGGAACTAGAAGGGGGGGGGGGGGTTAATCGAAGGGTGCTTTTTGCACACTCGACCGTAAAAATAAAAATAAATATTTCTTATTTTATGACTTTTTATATTTAATAAAGTACAGTACCTACCATTTGAGGTTCCTTCTCATGGGATTTTACTGTGATATCCAGAAGAGTACTTACTCTTACGAGTAATCATCGTAATCGAGTTGGTGAACTCAGAAAGAACCATCGGTGTTGCTACTGTTTTGTTGACATGAGTAAATAGTTTATCACCAGAAGGCCAAAGTATTTGTTTGAGA